TGCTTTCTCCTCCAAATGGTCCACAGACACCATTACTTCACATGTATAATTATTACATTCAATTATTACTTTAGTGTCTGCACTAGATCCATCCCATGTAAAGTACCCTGAGCTTTGTTACTGAATATTTTAGTTTGGTCCCACCAACTGGTTATAAACCAAATTACTACTGTGCAAGTTACCTTAACACCCATGACAGTGACCACAGACATAACACCCCAGACAAAATTTCATAAAAAGCAATAGTAACTGGATATCTTATTTTCTTCTTAGGAAAAAAAATTATCATCACAATGATTAAGAGTCAGATAATGCTCCAAACCTAAATATTTCACGTCTTCCTTAGGCAGATTGAGCTCAGTGTTTAAAATCCAGCCAGGAAATGTATCGGTCTGATATTGCTAATAAACTTTTCAACAACTGCTACCTAGGATCCGGACAGCAGTGAGGGAGGGGCAGCAGTCTGATCACTGTTTAATTACCTCACTCCAAACAGAAGATGGGCTTCAGAGGACAGCGTGTGAGCTGCACCTCTGTCCACATGCCCATTCTCCCTGCGTGAATCACGAGGTCTGGGTGGGGTTTTGGTCAGCTTTTCATTGCTATGACCAGAGACCTGACGAGAACCATATAGAGGAGGAAATGGTCATTCTGGCTCATGGTTTCAGAGGTTCAGTCCATGGTCAGCTGACTCCATGGCTCTGAACCCAGAGCTCATCACGGTGGGAGGGTGTGGAGGAGGAAAACAGCCCACGAGGTGACAGGAAGCAGAGGGAGAACTCCACTCACCAGGGACAAAATAAACCCCCACAGGCACACCCCCAGTGACGCACCTGCTGACAGTTACCAGCCAGCAAATCCTATCAGTATGTTACTCCACAGACGAGGTTACAGCTCCCACAACCTGGTCTTTTCACCCTGAATGTTCTTGCATCAACTCACCAGATCTTGGGGGGGACCCTCCACACCTAGGCCAGTCACAGGTAGGTAACTGCATACAAGCAGATCAAGACGTGTCCACGCAGATCTATGGATCACTGTGCTACCCTCTGGATCTTAAATGTCCCCCAGAAACCCGTTCAGGCTTGGTCACCAGCCTGTGGTGCCATTGGGAGGTGGTGGAACCTGTAGGGGTAGGGCTTGGTGGGAGGAAGCAAGGTTGCTGGGGACTGCCCCCAAAAGACATTGGGAACCCCTGCAGTTTTTACCTTTGCTTCGGAGCACTGCAAGGTGAGCAGCTTTCCTCCACCACTTCTCACTGCCATGGAGGCTCTGCCTCACCACAGAACCAAAACAACAGAGCCAGGCAACCACAGCCAAGAGACACTTCCTTCCATTCAAGCTAATGATCTCGGCCCTGCATTTTGTCAACCTGACCCCATCAAGTCACCAGCCACTTGAGTTGAATTCCCTCTGTTGCTTGTGAGAAAGGGTGGCTCCTGTCCCAGTGCCCAGCAAGTTGTCCATCCGCCTTGTCAACCTCAGCAGGAAAGGCACTGTCCGTTTGGTCAGGAGGCACCAACTCGCTGTAAGGGATTGTTGGGGGACTTGGTGAGTTGCCTGTTCATTCTTCCTGCAGGCATGTGGAAATAACCTGGCCCACACTCATTTAATATCCATATTCTAATAAGCTAGCTTGTTACTATCCCACACTGGTCAAACGGATGTCAGCAGCACCATTTTCTAAATCCACACCTATGCCCTAGGTGCACTCTGAGCCTGGCCAGGTCACATCACCGGCAGCAGGCTAAGCTGTTCTGCATTATGGCTGACCACACTGTCTAGGAAGCTTGTGGTGCCTCCCGTGAGGTTCGGACTGTGAAAGAGAGTTTTCAGCATTCAAATCCCTTAGAAATGCCAATTCTACTTCTGAAACAGCTAGAGTCACAGGCGGCGCAGACAGACTCAGGGTGTCCAATCCCCAGAATGATTCTTTATCACTAATTTGCAACCTCCATGAGGCCAGGGCTCAGGCACCATCTCTCCTGCTCTAATGCAGAAGCCACTGGAATGGCACGGCCTGCCCAGGCTCACTGAGACCCCACCTTGCTCAATCTGTCCAAAGGACCAATCTGTTCAAAGCTTTTCTCCAGAGGAGAAAGCTAAAGCTCTAAGAGTTAAAGAGTCTCACCCAATACTGAGTGCTGAAATAGCACCCACATTTTCCAAAACACAAGCTTCCCGCTCCGTGGTACCTTTGTTCCCAGCGTCACTGAACTGCAAGAGCAGGAAAGCCCCACAATCAGAGCACACATCCTCTCAAAACAGGAGCTATGCTGAGCCAGATCTGGCCATGGTTAACAGTGGCTCTGGTTAACAGTCAGTCCATTATAGGCAACACTGGCTGTCCTGGTCTTCTGAGGTAGGAAGGGCATTTACCACCCACCTTGGTGGTTTCTTTGTTCTTCTTGTGTTCAGGCATTTAATACATTACTATGCAATGTCTGTCTCCCCCACCCCGGGCCCCAGTTACTAGGACACATAGGCATTGAAAAATTTAAATAACTATCCAACTGAAGGCCGAAGGGGTGCTGGAAATCCAGTGCCAAGCTACTCCTCTCATTAGGGATGTAAAACTCAAAGTGATATACTTCTGTGAAAGAGCAGTAGATCACTATAATTTTCAAACCCTGAATTCCTTTTTTAGTATGTTTTTATATAATTTAACACATTTAGTCCCTAATCTGTCCCCACCATCATCTACTTATAAAACTAAAACTAATTGGAAAATGAAAAAAAAAAAACTATCAATGCTTGCTAAACATAAAGTTTTGCTATAAATAATCTCTTACAGTAAATGAGACAATCTTAAGGCTCTTTGCTTGATACCACCTCCAACCGTTCACACCCACATGGATGTCCCTCCTGGGAACACAATGAGTGTTGACTTCATTCTCTGGGATTAAGGACAATTGATCCCAACCTTCCTGTCACTTTGCTTTAGCTGAGGCACAGATAAACAGAAAGGGCAGGGCTCCACTTCATGCAGCTCTGCCCCACCACTTGGGTGAAAAGCAGCCAATTTTTTTTTTTTAGAGAAGAAATTCAAACTTTGAAGGACATAGGTTTTTAATTTCCTAGTTGTTATGGAAGATAAAAAAAGCTATTATTAAACACAACCCCAACAATTCAAAATGAAGCACCATCTTAAGGCACATTGTTATTTACATGCAAGTTATTGATGTGCTGCTTTTATTACTTCCAACCTAAACCATGTTACTGAGCCCCCCCACCCCATCCCCTCCACGCCATCAACTCATCCCTATACTGGACAAAGAGCTTATAGAGCCAAATCAGACTCCAGGAAACACAGCTGCTTCTGTACTAAGATGGCTTCCAGTCCTCCCTCGGTCCCTCATGCGTTGTTTACCACACTGCCACCCAAACACACCTTGTATCTCGCCTAGGAGTTTTGCCATACTTTTCCAAACACAAACAAATGATGGGATTCAGGCAAAAATCTACCACATTTTCCCCCAAATTCGGGTCTAAAGAAAGGAAGTAAGGAAGGTTGGTGGTTGTCATGTTAGATGCCAATTATAGTCGATGACAATAGTACTTTTCCTTTCAAAAAGGAGTAATTGGCGACAAGTAGCCCGGCTTGAGCCTGTAATCCCAGCAGCTCCTGAGGCTAAAGCAGGAGCCAGCCTCAGCAGTTTACCTAGGCTCCAAGCAACTCGGCCAGACCCAGTCTCAAAAAAAAGGAGGGGGTGCTGGGGATATGGTTAAGTGCCCCTGGGTTCAATAACTGGTTAAAAAAAAAAAAAGTTGAAATTGGCAACTTTGTCTCCTTGACTTTGCTTCTTTTAGGTAAATATCATAAAGCCATCAAGGCAAACTGACCCAGAAAACAAACCAACATGCACACATCCACCTTCAGCGGGGCACACCCTTCGCCCCCCCACACACCCGCACAGGCCCCCCACAGGTACATCCACCCACACACCTGTCCACGCCCATAGGTCCGCCACAAGCGTACACCCTCATAACCTTCACACACCCATGCTCCTCCGCACACCCCCCACACACCCACAGGCCCCTCACAAGCGCACAAACGCACAAACACCCCCAAAAGTCTCCACGCACGCGACCCAGGGAGTAGCAGAAGCCAGCGGCATCGGTAGATCCCGAGCTCGGCACGGAGCCGTCTGCTCTGACCACCTTCAAGCTCACTCCCAGCTGGGACCTGCGCT